AATAATTTAATGTTAGTAAATTAAATTTTATTTCATTTTATTCATGCATTTATTTATTTTACATATTTATTTAATTAATTACATATATTATCATTCAGCATTATTTAAAAATAGAAATTTAATGCATTTAATTTTATTTTATATTTATGCATTTATTAATTTATGTTACACATTTGTTTAATTAATTTAAATATATTATTATTTGGCATTTATTAATTTAATAATATTAATTTCATTGTATTTTACTCATGCATTTATTTTACATATTTAATTACATTTATTATATATTCATTTAGCAATAATTTAATATTAATTGTATTATATTGTATTTAATTTTATTACTGCACGTATTTATTTATTTTACTTATTTATTTATTTATTAATTTAATATATTATCATTTAGCATTAATTTAATATTAATTTGATTTTATTGTATTTGATTTTATTACTGCATGTATTTATTTATTTTACATATTTAATAATTTAAATATTATAATTTAGCATTAGTTTAGTAATATTCATTTAATTCTATTGTATTTTATTTATGCATTTATTTACATATTTATTTATTTAATTAATTTAAATATAGTCTAGCATTAGTCTAGTCTGATATACTTGAAATAAGATTTTTATTTTAACTGATGTCATGTTTCTGCTGGGTTATATTCAGGATGTTTACCTTAGTTTGTTGATCAGCATCACACTGAATCACTGACTAGAAATAAACTCTAATTCACACACACCGAGCTGAGAAGCTGTCAGTGTTTATGTGTGTGTGTGTGTGTGTGTGTGTGTGTGTCCTGCTGTTCTCACACTCTCTTGCTCTTTTTATAAAGGTGATTTGGTTTTATAGACTTTGGCTTGAATCCTGAAGCTCAGTTTCAACTTTATTTAGCCCGTCTGTCTCCTGCGGCTCTTTCTGGACTCTCAGATAGTGTAAACCAGAGACTGACTGACTAGATAGACAGACAGACAGACAGACATATATAGATATTACATATTTATTTAATTGAAATATATCATCATTTAGCATTAATTTAATAACATTATTTAACTTTATTTAATTTTGTTCTATTTTATTCATGCATTGATTTTACATAGTTATTTAACTAATTTAAATATAGTATCATTTAGCATACATTTTAATAATATACATTTTATTTTATTGAATTCTATTTTATTTTATTCCTGCATATATATTCTCATTTCACATTCATTTTTATATGTTTTATTTTATTGTATTTGATTTTGTTTCTGCATATATTTATTTTACATGTTTAATTAATTTATTTAACCATTTAGCATTGATTTAACATTAATTCAATTTAATATTTATTTTTTATTTATTTTACATAATTAATTTAAATATATTATCCTTTAGCATTAATTTAATGATATTAGTTTAACTGTATTTTATTCAAGCATTTATTTATTTAACATTTATTTTATTATCATTTAGTATTAATTTAATAATATCAAATTTATTTTATTGTAATTAATTTTAAGCATTTATTTAGCGTACATATTTATTTAATTTATTTAAATATATAATTATTTAGCATTACTTTTATTGTATTTATTTGTATTCCTGTATATATTTATTTTGCATATTTAATCATTTAGCATTAATTTATTATTATTAATTCAATAAAATTTTAGATTTACGCATTTATTTATTTAAATTAATTTAAATATATTATCATTTAGAATTAATTTTTAATAATAATTAAATTTAATAGCATATTATTTTTGCATTTATTTATTTTACATATTTAATCAATTTAAATATATTATAATTTAGTATTAATTTAATAACATCAATTTTATTTTATTCAAGCATTTATTTATTTGACATTTTTCTTTAACTACTTTAAATATATTATCATTTAACATTAGTTTCATTAATTAGATTTAATTTTTTGTTTATAATTGTTATTTATTTTATATTCATGCAATCATTGTATTTTATTTTATTTTCCGTTGTGTTAAACATAAGCTGTAATAGTTGGCAGTTCATTCCACTGTTGGGACCTCTGATAAATCAGAGATTAGGCCGAAAGAAAACAAATGAATGTATCAATAATCTTGTTTCTGCCAAAACAGGTACACAAAGACATCTTATGTACTAATGTACTTACTATAGTAAATAAAATGAATTATGCATAATTAAATGCACTAAATCCTGCATTCTAACCCTGATCATATAATTAATTAATATTACTCAGCATTTAAATAAGTTATAATGTAACAAGCGCACCTTAAAATGAAGAACCAGAACATATAAAAACATCCTCAAGCATTATTTCTTAAGAAAGCAGAAGCAGTTCTTGTCTTGAGGAACCAAAATTAACTTTGTAAAATGTGTGAGAAAATTGCACCACATTATTTTAGATGCATGTTAATCAGACAATCCCATTCTATACATCTGCTAAATTCAGTTCATGTGTTCTGTTTTGATTATTAAACACTCAACGGCCACTTCATTAGGTATTAATTTAATATTAATAATTAAATTACATTTTATTTTCATACATTTATTAATTTCACATATCTAATTAATTTAAATATATTGTTTTTTGGCAGTAATTTATTCATTTAAGTTTATTTTATTCATGCATTTATTTATTTATTATATTTATTTAAATATAGTATAATTTATTATTAATTGAATAATATCAATTTTACTTTATTGTATTTTATTTTAAGCATTAATTGATTTATTTGACATTTATTAATTAATTTAAATATACATTTGGCAAAAATATTTATATTAATTTTATTGTATTGTATTTAATTCTTGTCCTGCATATTTTTTATTTTACATATTTAATTAATTTAATCATTTAGCATTAATTTAATAATATAAATTTTATTATTTAATTGTATTTTATTCATTTATTTGATCAAATCAGTTCATATGTGTTCTGTTTTGATTTTTGTCCACTCACCGGCCACTTTATTAGGTACACCTTACTAGTAGCAAGTTGGGCCCTCTTTTGCCTTCAGAACTGCCTTAATCCTTTGTGTCAGAGATTCAACAAGATACTGGAAATATTCCTCAGAGATTTTGCTCCATATTGACATGATAGCATCACACAGTTGCTGCAGATTTGTCGGCTGCACATCCATGATGCCAATCTCCCGTTCCACCACATCCCAAAGCTGCTCTATTGGATTGAGCTCTGCTGACTGTGGAGGCCATTTGAGTACAGTGAACTCATTGGCATGTTCAAGAAGCCAGAGATGATTCCCCGTTCTGATGCTCGGTTTGAACTGCAGCAGATCGTCTTGACCATGTCTACATGTCTAAATGCATTGAGTTGCCGCCATGTGATTGGCTGATTAGAAATTTCGTGTTAATGAGCAGTTGGACAGGTGTACCTAATAAAGTGGCCGGTGAGTGTATATTATTAATATTAGTTGTGCTCTGCTCTCTCAATTTCTCCTTGGAAAGAAAACTAAAGATACAGATTGATTGATTGATATTAAAGAGATAAGATAACGCCACTGAGAAATAAAGACAGCACACATCCTTAAGAAATAAGCAGTTTCTTCACAACAATGAAATGGGAGAAAATAATGAAGCAGGTTTTGCTCATTTCACAAGTCGTGTTGTGTGACAAAATCAACATTTACAATCTATTTACACACAAAAAGTGTCACGTTTGGGTTCTCGAATCGTCCATCCTGATGTCAGATCGCTGTAAAGTGAGTTCAGAGTCTGCAGAAGCTCTTAAAGAAACTCTTCTGTTGAAAATGAGATGTAGATTTACTGATCAATTCAAGCAGTTCGCTGACTGCCACCATCATGTCACTTGTGTTTTTGTCATTTTAACATGCTGTTTTGCATCGGTGTGAGTTTTAGACTCGAAACAAACTCTACAGAAGATCAGAAAGGCACACGCTTAACGATATGCAAGCTACAAAGTAAAAGAAAGCCAAGTGATTATATAAATGTCATCAGTTTAAACATTATTATTTTTGTATAGTTTGCATAGTGGTTATAACTGTGGCTTCACAGCAAGAAGGTCGCTGGTTCGAGTCCCACCTGAACTAGTTGTCATTTCTGTGTGGAGTTTGCATGTTCTCCCCGTGTTGGCGTGGGTTTCCTCCGGGTGCTCCGGTTTCCCCCACAGTCCAAACACATGCGCTATAGGGGAATTGATCAACTAAATTGGCCGTAGTGTATGAGTGTGTGTGTGAATGAGTGTGTATGGGTGTTTCCCAGTACTGGGTTGTGGCTGTAAGGGCACCCGCTGCGTAAAACATGTGCTGGAATAGATGGTGGTTCATTCCGCAGACTAAGCGAAAGGGAAATGAATGAATGAAAGTTTTCAGCTAATGTTATAAACTCTCAGAATTAAAGGTATGCGAGCTGTCACTGGGGTGTTACCTTTTCAAAAGGTACACATTTGTACTTAAAGGGTCCATATTGGTACCTCAAAAGTTTATAGTAGTACCTACAAATTTTAAGAGGCATACTTTGGTACTTTTTAGATACAAATTTGTACCTTTTGAAAAGGCACCACCCTAGTGACAGCTTGCGTACCTTTATTTCTGAGAGTGTATGAATCTTGGAGTGCAAGAGAAATGAGCAACTTATAGTCAGTTTACATCAACAATAAAATACTGGTTTTATTTTTTGCGAACATCTGAAAACAGATTTTATGATTTGATGTGTAAATCATTTACCTGAATGTAATGCTGAGCAGAGATCGACTTAAAATATGTAAATATTTAAATGAGGAAATAATTATTTAAATATTGAATTACTGTGAAAAGCAGACATTCATTCATTTTCTTTTCGGCTTAGTCTTTTTTTAATCAGTGGTCGCCACAGCGGAATGAACCGCCAACTTATCCAGCACATGTTTTACACAGCGGATACCCTTCCAGCTGCAACCCATCTCTGGGAAACATCCATACACACTCATTCACACACACACACACACCACAGACAAATTAGCTTACCCAATTCACCTGTACCGCATGTCTTACTGTGGGAGAAACCGGAGCACCCGGAGGAAACCCACACCAACACAGGGAGAACATGCAAACTCCACACAGAAACGCCCACTGAGCCACCGAGTATCGAGCCAGCGACCTTCTTGCTGTGAGGCGACAGCACTAATACTGCGCCAGCACGTCATCTAGAAGCAGAACTTACTATTTACTATATTCAATTAAAGCTATTTTGCATTTATATACCAAACTGGAGATCAACTGATATTATTTTTATTAATGGTCTGAAATATGAAATTAATTTAGTCAATAAGCAGCAATAAATAATAATTAGGAAAAACATTCATTCATTTTCTTGTCGGCTTAGTCCCTTTATTAATCCGGGGTCACCACAGCGGAATGAACCGCCAACTTATCCAGCAGGTTTTTACGCAGCGGATGCCCTTCCAGCCGCAACCCATCTCTGGGAAACATCCACACACACTCTTACACAACAGAAAATTTAGCCTACCAAATTCACCTGTACCGCATGTCTTTGGACTGTGGGGGAAACCGGAGCACCCGGAGGAAACCCACGCGAACGCAGGGAGAACATGCAAACTCCACACAGAAACGCCAACTGAGCCGAGGCTCGAACCAGCGACCTTCTTGCTGTGAGGCGACAGCACTACCTACTGCGCCACTGCGGACAGAAGCTTTGCAAATTCACCTCAACCTGAATGAAACCTGAAGTAGCATATTTGTTTGTGATGAATAAATTATTTAACTGCCAATAACATGTAATGAATAATTAAACAAGTGAACATTGATGAAGAATTAAATAGCATTGAATTAATAAATATGTCATTAATATTTTCACTGATGGCATGAACCATTATATTAATGCACAGTTATTTTGCTTTGGACTGTAATGCTAACAATTTGCATAACGCCAAAATGATGATGAACTTTGTTTGTGACACAATTAATAAAGAAAAACACTGCTGTCTGCACTGAGTCTGGTGTAGAGTTTGTTTCTGGCCTCAGATTTACACTGTATGACTGTTTGTTTTAATTGATTATGAAATGCCGGTCAGCTATTAAGGGAGAAACCTGTCACACAGTGATGATGATGATGATGATGATGAGACAACATTAATAATAACAATAATAATAATAATACAAACTATTCACAACTTAAAAAAAGACAAACAAATCTCATGCTGTGCTGTGGAAAACAGATATAGCACAACTCCGCCTCCAGAGTCTATTGCTCCAATCAGAATCGTCTTAAAGAGACAGTACACCCCAGAATGAAATCTCTGTCATGATTAACTCACCCTTTAGTTATTTCAACCCTATATGAGCTTCTTAATTCTGTTGAACACAAAAGAAGATATTTTGAAGAATGCTGAAAACCTATTGATGGTTTTCAGTCATGTGACCTGTGCGGAAATACAACAATGAGCCGTAATGGCGGCTACACTGGGATCTGCATAGAATCAAAGCACAATTAGCTCATATTGTCATCTGTTTACTAATATTTGCATATATTATATGTTATTTTTGTGGAAAAAGTGCTTTAAAAAGCAGTATAAGCGTATCATTTTCACAATGTATATATGGATGAAGAACACATTTGCTTGTTGTTTCTACTGTACATACAGTTGAAGTCAGAATTATTTGCCGTCCGGTGATTTTATAATAAAACATTAATATTTCCCAAACAATGTTGAACAGATTCAGGAATTTTTCACAGTATTTCCTATAATATTTTTTCTTCTGAAGAATCTCTTATTTGTTTTATTTCAGCTAGAATAAAAGCAGCTTTTAATTTTTTTACAACCATTTTATAGTCAATATTATTAAGCCCCCTTAAGCAATATCAATTAATTAATTTTCTTTTAAGCTTAGTTCCTTTATTATTCTGGGGTCAACTTATCCAGCATATGTTTTACGCAGCGGATGTCCTTCCAGCTACAACCCATCGCTGGGAAACTCCCATACACTCTCATTCACACTCATACACCATGGCCAATCTAGCTTACCCAATTCCCCTATAGCGCATGTGTTTGGACTGTGGGGTCCAAATGCAAACTCCACACAGAAATGCCAATTGACCCAGCGGAGGCTCGAACCAGCGACCGTCTTGCTGTAAGGTGACTTTGCTACCCCCTGCGCCACCGCGCTGCCAGCAATATTAATATTAAGCAATACTAAGCAAAAGAATAACTCAAGTTCCTGTCAGAGCTACACTTCAGCGATGTTAACCTTTATCTTGTGGATATTCATCAGTGATTTAGTCATTAGTGACGACATTATAGAGCAAAAGTGTCTGCTTTTACATTTATATAAAGTGTGTCTCGCAATCTAGGAGAAGCACTGCATTAAATGACATTTTTCCACATCATGTCTATAAAATATAAACATTAATTTTCCCCCAGTGTTTTCAATGGAGTTTCTGCGTTCGCCTGCTGATCGTGACGTGCATGTGCGTGACATTTCATCACGGTTCATGCTTGAGCAACTAATTAAATGCTTAAATCTGTTTACCTGATTGTATTTTAATTGCATTACAACATCAATGCTGTAAAATAATCCGTATAAAATTAAAACAAGTCATATTAACCGTTCACTCTAAATGTATCAGTAATGTTAAGCAATAACAAGCAAAAAAATAAAGGTCCTGTTCCTACAAGAGCTACAATTCGGCGATGTTTACCTTTATCTTGTGGATATTCCACATTGATTTAGTCATTAGTGACGACATTATAGAGCAAAAGTGTCTGCTTTAAATTTGCTGTCAGTTTATTTTGCTTATAAATTAATATTTGCTGGTAGGGAAAATTTATTTGTTCACTTCTGCTATAGGCTATATGCAGAAGGACTTTTAATTTGTCAGTAACCTGAGTCAAGCGCTTGCGGTGACCTGTATGCTGTTACAAAATCAGCACATTTCAGGTCTGTTTTCTTTAAAAATCAATGATCTTCAGTGCCTGATTGATTTACCATATAAAGTGCATCTCACAATCTAGGAGAAGCACTGCAGTAAATGACATTTTTCCACATCATGTCTTTAAAATATAAACATTGATTTCCCCCAGTGTTTTCAATGGAGTTTCTGCGTTCGCCTGCTGATCGTGACGTGCATGTGCGTGACTTTTCATCTCGGTTTATGCTTGAGCAACTAAATAAATGCTTAAATCTGTTTACCTGATTGTATTTTAATTGCATTACAACATCAATGCTGTAAAAGAAACTGTATAAATCTGAAAAAAGTCATATTAACCGTTCACCGGAAGATTATCGGTATGGGAGGAAACACTAGCTGTGCATATATCCTATTTATGCTTTGACTTTACATTTTATTTTAGAATTTAATTGCACTTAACATGCAAATTAGAAAAGAAACCATATAAAAAAGCATGGAAATGCACTGATGGGGCATTAATGATGACAGAAACACATCAGTTTCTCTTTTCTGGCTGTTTTTATAATTTGATTTAATTTAATTTGTTCAAAATAAAGTCTAAAGCATGTCAAATTAATTGACTTTTATGTGTTTTTCTACTATGGAAGTCAACAGATCTCTGCTTTCTTTAGTATATCTCCTCTAGTGTTTAACTGAAGAAAGAAACTCACAGATTTGGAAATAGTAAGTACATTTTTGGGTGAACTGTCCCTTTAAATGAGCTGCCGGCGTGCTATTGGCTGTCAGTATGGCCTCCAGACGGCCTCTACAGACATGCTGGTTGGCGAACTGCTGTGGCTTCCCTCCGCCTCCACCACTCCTTCGCTCTGATTGGGGAGCGAGGGGTGCAGGAGGGCGGAGCCTGTGGAGGCGTTGGTGCAGGGTAGGATTCGGGGCGGCGAGCGCTCCCCTGCTGCCGCCCCTCCGCTGGGCATCATGGAGAACTGGTAGGAGCCCGCAGCGCTGCTGTAGTACAGGTGATATGGGGACGAGCTCGCCTGGAAGGCTCCAGCCTGGGCCTGCGAGGAGCCCGCGGGGTACGCCGGCGGCAGGTATGTGTGGTAGCGTCCCGCAGGGCTGCTCATGGCTGACATGCCAATACCGATGGCGCTGGTGACGGGCGTGGGGGTGTAGGTGAAGGCGCCGGTGGGGTACGGCACCCGCGGGTCAGAGAAACGCCCATCTGGGAGAGATGGGAGTGATGGGAAGGAGCGCTCCAAACCCACACGGGGATCTGTGAACGCCGTCAGCTCTGGACCTGCGGAAACACAGCAGATGCTCTTAAAGGGACAGTACACCCCAAAATATAAGGTCTGCAGGTAAACTACCATGGAAACACATGTAATGAATATCCTCCAGCATGCGCTTCATCAGTCTGCATGATGAGGTTTCGTTTCTGACAGATGATGATCAGATATAAATGTGTGTGACGGACGCATTAATGGACCAAGCAGCGATTCCAGCTTTACATTGTAATAGATCTGAAATGTTGTTTTGCTTGTTTCTAAAAGACCTCAGCCTTCAGTCCATCATCACAGTGCTTCAGTATTATTATTACCTCCTACCTGAATGTCAAATTGTTTTAAGGTGCTTGAAAACCAATCTGTTAAAAATATTTGATTTATTAAAGTACTTTATCTCAATTACAGTAGATTTTTTTTTCTTTTTTAAATATTTCCTAAATGATGTTTAACAGAGCAAGGAAATGGTCACAGTATGTCTGATAATATTTTTTCTTCTGGAGAAACTCTCATTTGTTTTATTTTGGCTAGAATTAAAGCAGTTTTTAATTTTTTAATCACCATTTTAAGGACAATATTATTGGCCCCTTTAAGCTATATCTTTTTTCTTGATAGTCTACAGAACAAACCATCGTTATACAATAACTTGCCTAATTACCCTAACAAAGATAAATTTATTAACTTATTTATTAATTTATTAATTTTATTAAATTTAAACAGTTATTAGAGATTTAGAGATGAGTTATTAACACTATTGTGATTAGAAATGTGTTGAATAAATCTGCTCTCCATTAAACAGAAATTGGGGAAAAAAATAAACAGGGGGGCTAATAATTCTGTCTTTAACTATATATATATATATATATTATTTAATCACAAATACAGTAAAAGTTGTACAATTGTGAAATATTATTGCACTATAAAATAACTGCGCAACAGCAGTTTATCATTTAATTTAATCATTTACTTTAGTGATTTTAAAGATGAATTTTCAGAGTCTTCAGTCACATGATTCTTCAGAAATCGCACTTATTTTAATCATTATTATGATTATTATTATCGTTATTATTATTTTGGTAAAAAAGCAGTAATGACCTGAGTAATAATTTCATTTAAAACTAACTACAATAAGAAATATTTATTTTTGTTAAATAAATGCTGCCTTGATGAACAGAAAATAATAAATAAATAAATATTAAAAAACTGACCCCGAAATTCTGATTGGTAGTGTATATGTAAATATATGCAGATTTTTCCAGCACATTTCTAATCACAATAGTGTTAATAACTCATCTCTAATAACTGATTTATTTTCTCTTTGCCATAATGACAATAAATAATATTAAACTAGATATTCTTCAAGACACTTCTATACAGCTTAAAGTGACATTTAAAGGCTTCACTAGGTTAATTAGGTTAACTAGGCAGGTTAGGAAGTTATTGTATAATGATGGTTTGTTCTGTAGAATATCAAACAATAAATAGCTTAAAGGGGTTAATAATATTGACCTTAAAATGGTGCTTAAAAAACTAAAAACTGCTTTTATTCTAGCCGAAATAAAACAAATAAGACTTTCTCCAGAAGAACAAATATTATCAGATATATTGTGAATATTTCCTGAATCTGTATATATATATATATGACAAAACTATGATCTACTATAACTGAGATAAAGTTAACTAAACTAAACTAAACTAAACTAAACTAAACTGACAGGAACAATACACCCAAAAATCAGTTTGTGTTGGGAAAAACAGGAATTAGGTTACTTAAAAGTTGTCCGTCAAAAAAAAAACTCACCAATTGTATTGTTTCAGCTCATTTTAAACGGACAGTACACCCAAAAATGTGAGAGTCCTCTTCTATACATTGCTGTATATTTTTATATTAGTTTTATATCTTCTAAGTGTGAAGATATATTTTTTTTACAATTACTGTTTTTGAGCACATGATATATATATATATATATACAGTTGAAGTCAGAATTATTCGCCCCCTTCGATTTTTTTCCTTCTTTTTTAAATAATTTCCAAATGGTTTTCAACAGAGCAAGGACATTTTTACAGTATGTCTGATAATATTTTTTCTTCTGGAGAAAGTCTTATTTGTTTTAATTTGGCTAGAATAAAAGCAGTTTTGAATTTTTTATGAACCATTTTAGGGACAAAATTATTAGCCTCTTTAAGCTATATTTTTTCTTGATAGTCTACAAAACAAACCACTGTTATACAATAACTTGCCTAATTCCCCTAACCTGCCTAGTTAACTTAATTAACCTAGTTAAGCCTTTAAATGTCACTTTAAGCTGTATAGAAGCGTCTTAAAAATATCTAGTAAAATATTATTTACAGTCATCACGGCAAAGATAAAATAAATCAGTTATTAGAGATGAGTAATTAAAATTATTATGTTTAGAAACATGTTGGAAAAATCTGCTCTCCCTTAAACGGAAATTAGGGAAAGAATAAACAAGCGGTCTAATAATTTAAGGGGGCTAACAATTCTGACTTCAACTGTATATATATATATATATATATATATATATATATATATATATATATACATATATATATATATTAATATCTAACAATACTGATACTTACATCTGAAAACCTTTTTAAGAACATTTTAATTTAATGAGACCTTTCAAGGGACAGTACACCCAAAAATTAAAGATCCCTGTGAAGTGTTTTGAAATCTGTTTTTTTTTTAACTACAGCATTGTAATTGTTAATTTACAGCACGGTTGTAAATTTTAGAGTATCACTGGCAAAATATAGTAGTTCAGTCATTCATTTTCCTTCAGTTTAGTCCCTTTAATCATCAGGGGTTGCCACAGCGGAATGAACCACCAACTATTCCAACATATGTTTTACACAGCGGATGTCCTTCCAGCTGTAACCCAGTACTGGGAAATACCCATACACACTCATTCACACACACTCATTCACTATGGCCAATTTAGTTTATCCAATTGACAGAAATGCCAACTGGCCCAGCTGGGACTTGAACCAGCGACCTTCGTGCTGTGAGGCCACAGTGCTGACCCATGAGCCACCACGTCACCTCTGAAACTATATTGAAAAACAGGAATAAAGCAGTAAGTGTGAATGTGTAAACTCACAGTGTAAAGCCGTCCGGTTGGGTGAGATTGGTGTTGTAGGGTGGACCGCTGGGGTGGAGATCGGGCCCAGATATGGGTACGACTGCTCATACGACCAGGATGGAGACGTCTGCATCTGCCGGGAGTCTGAAAACACACATCTAAGACTTCAGAAAAGCTCTTGATAACACCAACCTGGACTTTCTCTTTCATTATTTCAGCAAATAGGATTGTAAAGAAAAGATTTGTTGTGCTCTCGCATTCACTGCGTTCACCAACTATGAGCAAAGATGAGAAACAAGCTAAAGTGGAAAGGCTCCATAATAATAATAATACAGTGTGTAATGAACGCTGCCGATGGCTTGCAGACTTCCAGACTAAAGGGGAGAGAGAGAGAGACAGAGAAAGAGAGAAAGTGGCCTGTTTTAAGTTGAGCCAGAGAATGAAGCGCTGCCAGAGCCAGAACAGGCAGAACCAAACACACAGCAGCAGGAGACACACATGACTGGAGGAGGCTGGAGGCACATTCAACATCCGCTCACACACACACACACACACACACACACACACACACACACACACACACACACACACACATAAATACACACACAAC